TTGTTGTACATATTACATTTGTAGGCGCTTTCTACGCATCTGGATCTACCGGATTTCAAAATCTCAGCAAAGCTGAAGAACACCTTCAAAAGAGCATTGGCTGCTATGAAAAGATGTCTAAAGACTTGAAAGGACAAGATCAAMTAACGATTTCTTTTATTGATACTTGTGTTGAAAGCTACAAGGCTCTTAGTTCAATTCTTCTCCTGTCTAACAAAACAGACGAAGCTCTGCTGATGTGTGAGCGTGGAAGAGCACGTTCTTTAAAAGATCTGCTTAGCTTAAAGTACAACACTGCAAAATCTTCAAAACAGCAGGAATCATTGAACATTGGTGATTGTAAGACCATGTCGTGCAAGTGTGATGCCGGTATTGTCTTTTACGAAGTTCATGAAAATAAATTGAGTACTCGCGTCTGGGTGCTCGCTTCTGCTTTCAAATCAGTTTTCTTTTACGATGAAATGATAGAACGAGAAATTTTGATTCAGTCAATATCCGAACTAGATGAAGTAAAAAGCAATGAAAAGGCCGGTTATTTTCAGCATCTTGTTGAAGACAGTCTGACAATTATGGAATTAAGAGAAGGAATGACTTGCGAAGACCGATCCCTGGGCTCAGTACAGTGTGAAGACGTAGTCCCTACATTGTTCAAAAGAACTTCGAAACCAGGAGAAACAACTCCCAAAGTTTCCAAGGAAAGTTCAAGATGTGTATACTTAGACGAAGACGACGACAAACCATTGGAAATGCTGTTTGACAGATTAGTTTCCCCTATGCTGGACAAGGTAACCCAAGAGGAGATTGTCATCATTCCTGATGGCCCKCTGTTTATGGTGCCATTTGCTGCTCTACAAGATCCAAAGACTGGTAAGTTTCTATCTGAAACAAAGCGACTTCGCCTGGCTCCTTCTCTGACGATTTTGAAAATGCTACAAGAATCTTCAGATGATTACCACTATAAAGTAAGTATCAGTCTATAAAACTTTTAGAATAAGGCGGCCGCTTCAAACCATTACAAGCTCATGTGAAGTGTGTTGCTTTAAGCTCCAATAGTCTCCTTCACGGTTCTTAGCGCCATCTTGAAAGGTAGCCTTGCTTTAGATTGAAGCGAGACAACCGATGAGCTTGCAATTATAGATTCCTGTGAACAATAATTGACTGTAGGTGTGAAAGAAGGTTTCTATCACTGCACGCTCAACGGTCGTCTCGCTTGATGCAAAGGCGCGGCTACCTTTCAAGATGGCGCAGGGAACCGTGAAGAAGACTATTACACAAAGCGGCCGGTATTGTCGCGCATGACTTGAAGTGCACGCGGCAGCCCTGTTACACTGYCTAATTTTCTCAGCAGCTGGTGTCGTAACACGCGAGTCGTCCCGCGTCTTGCAACTTTTTTATTGTGTTTACCTTCCAGCGCTTTTGTTGCAATTTTGAAGTCACGTACGCTTTTCGAGGATATGCACACTTGTTTATTCGTCTTTAGAAGCGCGCAAGTTTCAACTTTTTCTGTAGTGGATATCTTTATAATTTGTAGTGTACATGCTAATCTATGATAATGATAATAATTCTTTTGTTATAGCAATTGGGGTTCCTTTGGTACAAAAGGCGAGGAGTGGCACTGGGGAGAAAAAAAAAACAGGGAGAAATTGCTCGTTCAGGCTCTTTTCAGTCTTTTAACTCGGGAAAAACCAAAAGGAATCCGAATTATAGTAGACTAATTAGATGAAATGAAGTTGACTTCGGAGTAGGTCATTTGTAACTACGAGGGAATTTGAATCCTATGAAACACGGTTTGGAAGTAGTGCAAAATGAGTTCGATGGAATTAACGGGACTACTATTTAATTCATGTGCTAATGCTTCATGGTGTTTTGTTTTTGTAGTCAGGAGCATTGATTGTTGGAGATCCTGCTGTCGGAGAAGTCATGTACAGAGGAAGAAAAATACCGAGTATTCATCGTTTGCCCGGTGCAAAAGATGAAGCTATAGAAATAGGTGAGATCCTAGGGGTTCGACCACTGACAGGAAAACAAGCAACAAAAGAAGTAATACTAAAAAACTTACAACATGGCGTGTCCGTTATCCACTTTGCTGCTCATGGTAGTGCCAAAAATGGACAGATTTTCCTTGCTCCTTCTAAACCACCAAAGAAGGGCAGAGCCCCAGTGGAGGAGGATTACATCTTAACTATGAAAGAAGCACAAGAGAGCGGAATTCGTGCTCAACTCGTTGTACTCAGCTGCTGTCACAGCGGTAGAGGAGAGATCAAGTCAGAGGGAWTCGTGGGAATGTCTCGAGCATTCCTGGCTGCAGGAGCCCGTGCTGTTGTCGCGTCATTGTGGGCCATTGCTGACCAAGCTACTAGGTTGTTTATGGTGAAATTCTATTCACATCTCAAGAAAGGAGAGAGTGCCAGTAGGAGYCTACAGCAAGCAATGAAGGAAATGAGAGAAACAGAGATATATAAGGATCCTATGTACTGGGCTGCCTTCTTTCTAATTGGAGATGACGTCACCATTACTGTGTAATCGGACATGGCTTGACAATCGGAAATTTCAGGATGGACCATCTCATTCTTTTAATGAGGGTGCCCAGGTGTATTTTGGATTATATTTTCTTATTAAAGTAAGAATTGTAAATTGCAGCTAATATTATTTTTGGCATGAAATTTGTTCAGTCTATCTTGCYGTCATTCTAGCTAATATATATAATGACTTCTCGGTTGCTTGTCGTTTAGTAATGGACCCCTATTAAAGGAAAAAAAAAACACTTATAGACATTTTTCAATTTGATCTATACTGATACATAACACCTACTTGCAGCACCGTTGTCCCAGGGACCGCGGAGAAAGGGGGAAAAGGAGGCAATATTTTTTTTTTGGAAATCCAATAAAATGTTTTTCACTGTGCATAAAGTATGTTTTAGTAGCCCCTCAGAAGTTTGAAAATCACATTTCCAACGTTCAAAATTTCAACAATTCATTGGTTCTTCTACTTGATCTAGCCTTCGGTGGCTGTTAGCTTCCTCAACCAAAAATATTCTCCGCGGCCCTTGTCCTGTGTCGAAAGCATTTGCTTCTTTAAAAATGTTTATGTGAATAACTTTGAGACCAAGCCATGACCACTACACTGTCGTGTGAACCCGGGACGATGCAAATGATTCAAAAGAATCCATAATAATTAACCCACCAAGGGAACCAATCAAAATCCAGCTTGAGTGCAAGGCAGGTTCAAAAACATTTTAAACGTCTACACATATTTGAAGACGAAAGATTAAACACCTTTATTGTTGAATTGAGACCATTTATATTGTATCTCAAGGAAGAAACTATGAAGCACTTGCAGACATCRATAGCTGTTATAATATTGGTTCTTTCTGGTAAGACAAAATTTTGACAATAATATAATCATTTTTTGAAAAATGCAAAAACGAATCATTGATGACTACAAAATAGATTGTTAACAAAATATCTAAGGATTTCTATGAGATGATCTAGTTCTTTGCTGTACAAGTTAGTATCACTAGACATGGCTACTTTATTTCTAGAACCTGATTGTAACTGATATGAATAATGCCCGCCTGTCCGAACAAACCAGCGCAGTAGAGTGCTTTAAATAAAAGAGTGAGACATTTATTGCTAAATTGTGCAATAATRGTGCTAGTTGAACAAAAGAATTAACATAAATGATACAAAACAGTATTACTAATGTTTCGTGCGTTTTCTAAAAGCACTCTGTAATTTTATTTCTAGTTTACGATAAARGATCATTATATTATTTCCACTGATTGCTAATTATAAACATATAAATATTAATGCAATTTCTTATGTAAATTTTAGCTAGATATAGATCCAGCTGGAATTAAAAAAAAGATTAATTTAATTTGATTTTGTCAAATGTAATAGTGGAAGTCAAGGATGATAAGTCTTCAAATCAAAGGCAATAGTTAATGTCAAAGCTTCACATATAGCAAGTGTTTTTAATCAATAAACAAAAACAGTAATACTTTTGCCAGTAATGTAAGCAATTAATTTTATTTCCTAAACATATGTCAAGATGTATTCATAAATTTAWTCATATCAGAACGTCAGCATTTGGAATGCAAAAATATATTAGAGCTGACGCATTTTCCTTTGCTTCCTATTTTGTAAAGAAGACTATTTAATAATACTTATTTGCATTATTTTGTAGTCAGACATAGTCGATGTCTTTTTCAACAAATTCTTTTATTCCAGGATGTACCCTTTTGAAGTCAAAGAAATTACGCAACAGAACAAAATTCCGTCTTAAAAATAGCATGAAAACTTGTCAAAGCAACATATGTCTCAGAACTTTCAGACGTTCAGGGAAGTTCACTGTCTTCCACTCTGGTCTGGGAGAAAGCGATCCAAAATCGATTACAGTTACGTTTGACGCCATTAGAGAAAGAGATGGCTTCGGCCATCTTATTGGTAACAAAGGACCGTGGTGGAAAGGTCAACACTCCTTTTTAAACTTTGCTAATCTAGACTTTTCATTCAGTAAAATTGAAGAAAATTCAACTTATAAGGTGAGTGTTGTTGGAATGGGCATTTAGCATCAATCTGACATCTCAAGGAAAAACTCAGCCATTCGTAATCTAGCAGTTATTTAGTGAAAAACTATTACAATTGATAAATAGAATGGCCTAAAATGATTAGCATATTTACCAGTTTAGTAGATGCAGCACTTCAAGAACTCCAAAATCTGCAAATAAATGCATGACGACATTGACACTCATGGTCAAGGTCACCAATCATTTCTGGCCTTTTTAAAATTAGGTTGAATTTGAATATAAAGGGACCAATAGCAGGATTTTAGGAGATTTAGGCCCTGGCCCGGAGTGTATCTGCATCAACTTTGAAACATGTTTTCCGATTCTAGGGCATCAAAGCTTCCAGGTTCAATTTCTCAGCCACCATWCCGAGGTCTGGTGGWGCAGTCCTTAACATTCCTATGTAYATCTTTAAAGAGTATGGGATCCTAGACGTGTGTGATGAGGAAGAGGTRGTTATTAGGCCTGGCATTATTAAGTACAGCATTGAGGTAAACTGTATAAAAATATTGAGTTAATCTTATGTGCAGAATGATAAATTTCCAATACAGCTGATATCTTCATTGATGAAGAAATTATGGGATATCCATGTTGTATTTTGCTGGAGGGATKTGCTCTTGTTACTAGACCTTATACTAGAAGGGGACTAATTGTCATATCTTCCTGGAATGGCTTTGTCTATATAAAACGGTTTCCGTTTGTGTTTAAGGTGTACAACTGGAAGTTCTGCAAGGACTACGAATGTTCACCAAAGGGATTTAAGAAGAAGCGTTTTGGATCATATCTAGACATCATTCTTACTGTGAAGAAGAGAGGGAAAGGTTTTCGAGGAACACATTGGTGGCAGAGACGCAAACACAGACGTAAAGGGAGGAAAAGACCAAAAGKAAGAAAGCTAATCCAAGCTCAGAAATTCTTCTTTGGGGAGTCAAGTATAACATTCCCCGATAATGTAAGTTTCTGATAAAGTGTCTTGTTGATCTTAGTAATGAAATTGTTGGAAAAATCCGGTTGAAAAGTTTGTCAGTGCGTAAACATACCATTGAACAAATACTAGAGCGGATTTCGTATGAGTGGGAAACGGACGGTACTGTACTGTGTCCGTAATCGTACTGTAACCAAATTCTAGTGCCCCTTTGTTTCACCAAAATTCTTCAGGCCAGGTGCGGTAACTGTGCGGTAACCGTGCGGTAACGGTGTCCCACTCATACGAAATCCGCTCTATCTCACTTCAGTGCAAAAGCACAGTTACCTAATTTCAAGATGGCGCATGGAACCTTGAAGAAGGGTATTGTGAAGTGTATTAGGGGTTATCGACAAACAGCTATAGAGCAAATCCCTGCCCTAAAAATACCAAGGGCGCCATCCTTTAGCAATGCACATATTGTATCATTTCTGATCAGTTATAGAATGATGTTATTTCTATGCTATTTTCTAGTACGTATCAGATGGTAATTGTACCTCGATGCCACCTGGGTTTCCGTCCCTCTGGACGAAGCGACGAGGAGTGGAATACAAAGTTCGTTTGCGCTTCGCCAATTTTGACAAATTCGTGAAGTACGAYCCCATGCTTGACCTCGATGACCCAGGAATGATTGCAAATAGCAAAGTAGAACAGACTGCAGTGGCACCTASATTACATCTTTTTGCTCTAACCCAGCTCTCTGCGACAACTGAGCCTGTAACTAGTTTTCAACCTATCAGTACTAATAAAGTTGAGCCTTCCAGTAGCATTGCAGCGGTGACGTCAAAAAGATCTGAACCTACAAACATGTTAATGGTGACGTCAAGCAGGACTGGTGGGTCTTCATGGATCATTGCAACAAGATTCTCAAATGCAGCACAGTCTACAATCACTACTGCTGCTCTGTCAGCAGGTCCTATTGAGCCTACAGGCTCAATGAGAACCCTGGTAACTTTTACCTCTCAGCCCGAAGTGATTACATTGTCATCGGCAACTTCAACGCCAGCAAAGACTTCAAGGTACTCAAGGATATATGAACCTTCCAACAATATTAAAGCAGCCATCCCATCAGGCACAGATGAAACTAAAGAAAGCCTTATATTCACCATTGCAAAAAACTCCTCTGGGCCTTCAATCATTAAAGAAGCGATTCACTTAGGCCCAGATATGACTGCAAGCAGATTTAAAGCAGTGACGTCAAGCTTGGCTGAACCTGGAAGTATTAAACCACTTAACTACTCAAGCACAGCTGAGTTTTCAAGAAGTATCAAAGATACATACTCAAGAAAAAGTGAGCCTTCAAGCATAAATGTATCAGCGGCGATCTTAAGCTCCGCTAATCTTTCAAGCAGTAGTGCGTTAACATTTAGTGCAATTAATCTTTCAAGCATTATCATAACAGAAGCCTCAATAGCAGTTAAACCGCCATCAAACAGCACCGTCGGACCTTCAGGCAACCTAACGGACGCTAGCCCAATCACAGTTAAGCCTTCAAATATAATAGGAGCTGGTTCCACAGAGACACCTAAACCTGGAGAGATGACCGCAAACATAGCAAAACCTGCAGACAGCATTATAACAGCGGTATCTTCGTTCTTAACTACGGCTTCAAGCAAGTACAAAGCTGCGGTGACGCCAAGCACCGGCGAGCCTGGTAACACCAATACAGCGGTAACCTCAAGTACATCTGAGCGTGCAATAATCCTTACAGCGGTACCGCCATTAGCCAATATCGCACCCCGACCGGTTGTTCAAGTTGTCAAGGATTGTAATTCGGATATTCGTATTATTCCGTTTAACACTATTGCCATCACACTTCTATTTGTATTTATTTCCATAGAATTTCTTCTTTTAGTTATATTTCTATTATTTTTCTTTTTTTATCTCAATAGATAGGGATGAAATCGATTGAGGATATGAGATCGATTGTAAACGTCAGTTTTAATGCTCAGGGATGTATGTATTGAAAACACAGTCACTTSTTATTCACTGCTTTCAGTCAAATTTTTGCTGTCTCATTCTCCCTTTCGGTGCTGGCTCTCATGATGTAACCTTATGAAAAAACCTAGGCTTTTGCAAATAAGTGTATGAATTATGAAAATCATATCAATACTCTTTCTTGTAATGAAAACCGGTTTTTAAAGAATATTGACCGTTTAAGTTCTCGTTTAAGGCTCTCTTGCTCCTTATTGATAGCGTCAATGAGACATAGAAAAACAAGAGCATTGAGATATATTGGAAATGCAATCAGTAAATGCAATCTCGTTTGATGATCCAATATTTAAGTTAATCTTGAGAGGTAAGACATCTATACTTGTTAGTATGATTGATTGCCTAGCACGAAACGCGTCACATTTATAATAGAACACTTACAAAGTTGAAGTTCTGTTCCGCTTCAGTTTCCAACTGATCATGCAAAGGGTTTGAAGAATACCATGTTTCTGTGAAACACGCCGTTTCGCAGGCTAAATACGGACGTCACGCCTAAGGCACATCTTGTGGTGTAAATCATAGAAGTAACGAATGAATTTTTGATTGTATAAAAGTGAAACTATCATCGAACATTTACTATCGATGTTCGTACATCTTTAACGTTTGAGCTTGAGGTTATGTAATAACACAGCCGACCCAGTAGTTGATCATTAAATACTTCCGGTTTCTACGTCTCAAATTCTTGACTTYCGCTGGTCCAAACGCGACAATATGACACATAGATAGATAGATTGGTAAAAAAGCAAAACGTAAATCGATCTAGCCTACGGCTAGCCCGACTAATAAACCCCTTCTTGGCTCACTGGGATATCGGCTTATAATGCCCTCAGAAGAGAAATGGTCCTCAAAATATCACATATGCCCTCGATGTTTCGCTTCTCGGCCAAACGTTCATTTTTCGGACCATTTTGCATCCTCGGACATTATCAGACGATATCCCATCCGCTAGAAGGTGTTTATTTACTAAATATTCGGCACATAAACATCGGACTAAATTGTAAAAAACTCTTAATAAAACTTTGATCACTACAATCAATACTATAGGATGACAGCTGTAATAGATAAACAATATAAAAAAACAAAGTTTACTTTACTGAGCGCAAGTTAACCGCGACGAAGCTGAGCACGTGGAAAATCTTGTCCCYTGAGCCAGCGTCATTGACTAGTTGCCATGGCAATGCTACGTCGTGATTGACTGGGTGATTGATTTGCGACCAGGCCTGCATATGAATTCGCCAAGGTTGTAAGCCAGTGAGCCCGTGCATTTTTGTTAAGCGGTCATATTTGAAAGTGTAAATAAAGGAAAGGGAAAACCCGCAGCTCGCCTTTCATTCAGACAAACAGTACAAGTCGTGTTAAATTTATTTACAAAACTAAACAAAATGATTATAGAATTAAACCTTTAAGAATTGAATGCTCATATCAAACATTTTCCACCTTAAATACACRCGTGTTTTTCAGAAGGGAATTTAGTCGAACTTTGTCACGATGGAATTTTGTTTTGAGTCGTTTCGACATAAACAGTCGTTATCAAGACATTACACGAAAAACCCCAGTCACCGTTCTAGCTCTCGTTGTAAGGTCAAAGCTAGTAAATTTGTAACTGACCTGTTACATAACGTCAAATCGTCGAGCACGCTTTRCGGTTTATTGCCAAAAATGCGACGAAGGATGAACTACGACAGTTGTCACTACCAAAAATAACAAACACTTTAACTCTATTGGAATACGTGGAGCTAATAAGCTGCTCTAGCTCTTTCAGTGATGTTGTCGGATACCTCAAAGCTTAGAGGAAACAAGAGCTAAGAAAAAGGATTTGCAATGGTTCCTCCTAAGATACTTTGGACTTGAACGTCGCTTCAACGACCTTCTGAAGTCTTCGTGAAGTCGGCCATTGCTTCGCATGCAATGGAGAACCCGCGTAGAACACAGACCAATTATTTTTATCAGGGAGGGGAGTCTCTTGGTATTAAAGAAAAAATTATTTGTTATTTCATTTTTAAGATAAAATTCTATTTCTATAACGATTAATATTTGATTGACATTTAATAAAAGCTATTTTATAAAGATTTGCAATTTCTCTTTGCGTTTTATCTTTGATTTTTCGGATAGAATAAAATGACAGGCAGCCTACTCCACTGGGTCGAGTTTTGCTGTGCAAATTCCTCGCGTCTGGGGGTTATGTTTACAACATAAGCTTGTCAGCTTTGCGCTGATTGGCTAGTCGCATTTTCTCAAATCACCCAGGAGACACGGATGCTACTGCGCATAGGTCAATTAATTCACACAAGATCATACGATCAGATACTGTTAAGATTCTAAAATCCACATCAATGGACAACTACAAGAGTCCTTGTATATATACTGTGGTTTTTCATAGCAATTAATATTTGGTGTGTTGTGTCGGAGTAACTCTTATAATAGGGCACACTTGGTGAATTTACAGGGAGGATACTTCAGTTAGCAATTGCTCATATACAGGGGGTGCAGTTTGGGTTGTCTTAGGACTCTCAAATCAAGTGATAGTGTTACGGACGGACTTATAACGTGCATGATAACATAGTGGTTACCTATGCATCTTTGAGATTCAGATTATTGTCCTTTACCACCATCCAAATGATTAACAGGTTAACGGCGATGGTCAGAGAGAAGCAATGCTTATAACATGATAACATAGCGGTTACCCATCTTTGAGAAGGAGTAGCCACAAAAATGATGGAAGTTATGAATACGAATTACGTGTAATAAAAAAAAATATCGACATTAAAATTCAGACTTGAAAAAAAATTCATTTAAGTTATAGTGAACAATAGGATGACTTCAATATCGTTTATTGAACGATGGATAACAATATCGGTATTACATAATATGACCGTACAGGTGTATTGTCACGTGACTCGAACATCTTGAATCCGATCATAAGAGAATAATTCTAATAATAGCAATGGCGATTAAACTTGGTGAAGTGTTATTTCAATGCCGGGATTAATCCCTCACTCTTTACCCAATCAGATGAAAGTAAATAGAGTGATTAAACATTTACATGAAAAACAGAACTGAGCAGTTGTAGACCAACGTATTACTGCTACAATTAACTTAAGAAAACAACATAAATTTGCAGTTTTTCAAGAAAGTCTAAGAATAAACATTCGAGCTATAGCTAGTGTTATCCACAACTGACAGTTCAGGAGGTTAATCAGTCTTCATCTGTAAGTATTTTCAGTACAATGCAGACTTATAGAAGTAATCAAAAGAGTCTAGTCTACAACAACTGTCAATAAAGAACGGTTACTCACGACAACATAGTTTATTCTTCACACCTTCACGAATGTAAGATACTCGAAGCGATACGATGATCGGGTTCAACAGGGACTGTAGATTGACGAATGTCGGGACAAACCCAGGAGTTGAGATAAGGCTGGACTTGTCCCCCCCGTTTGTCCCCAGTAGGATGGTGTTGATGATGTATGGGCAGTAGAGAAGAATCGATGCAAGTACTAATACACCCATGGTAAATGCTCTCTTGTATTCCTGAAGTCGCCTTTCCTGCTCTTCTAGTTCTTCCTGTTGTAACTGTACTGTCGCTGCTTGTGCGTTGATGGCTCGTCTTTGACGGTAGGCAGTCACTTGTACTTTGATTGAGCAATATAAAATGATGAGAACATTCATACCCACAGCCACTGCAACTGGCACTTTCTGCAATCGTTTGCCCAAAAGCATTCTTACCGAAAAGGCTGCTGTTGGAACGATCAAACACGCTAAGGCCGTAGTGAGAATGATTTTCTTGGTTGTGACGTTTTCCAGGTAGAACTGAGTGTGTTCTATGGCCAGGTACCTCTCAATACTGGACACCATGAATATTACCAGAGTAGCACCAGCGCACATGACTGATATCATATAAGCGGTAAAAACACACGCTGTTGAACATCCTTGGATAAGACAAAACAGCCGAAAAACGTACAGAGGCTCTACCACAAGCCCTACAATAAAATCAGTCACTGCCAGAGCAGCAAGCAAGATGTTGTAGTTGACCTTTCGCAGATTCTTGTCCTTTACCACCGTCCAAATGATTAACAGGTTAATCGCGATGGTCAGGGGAGAAGCAATGCTGTTCACGACCAMAAGGRTGATCCAAGTGCGACGGACAGAATCGGGCAAGTAGCCGATGCTCACATAATACTCTAGTGATTCGTCTGAGATCAGACAACCAGAGTAACTGGTTCTTGTAAAATTCGACATGTTCTCTACATGACGGATGACAATGTTATTGAAATGCTCTCTTACTGAGCACATAGATTAAACCTTTGAAGGGCGGATTTCTATTGGATGAACGAACAATATTATCTATTTTCAGTAGATTTTGAGCACTTTGTCAAAAATAACTTGTGAATATATATATGTGGAAAACTGGCCTTTTCTATTTTATTCATATAGAATTTTCTTAATTTTTTCAAATCAAAGTCTATTTAAAAGGAGAATCTATCCATTTGATGCAGGTGTTCTGACATTTTAGTTATTTTGCGGCCACTTCAAGAGGAAACAATCCAAAACATATGAATAGATAAAGGAATTGTTCAAGTTTTCTCACAATAATAATATGAAGACATTAAAACTAGGTTTTAAAAGTAAAATACGGTATGTAATGTCCATAATATTGAAATAAGAAATATGTCCAATATGTCCAAAACAAGAGCTTTTTTTAAAAAAAAACATGTGATACGATCGAAAAAAGAAGRGTTTCCTAGTATGAGAGTGGGAGAGTTGCACAGCATCAGTTGCAAACAGTGTCTGTTTGGCTCAGTTAGTTTGGGACTAAAACATGAACAGAAAGAAACAAAGGTTTTCGTTTACCCTACGTRACTTATAGTTTCCAATCTTTATATGAACCAGCTGCGCTCATGGATCCACTACTTGAGTTTTGAACATTTTATGAAGTCAWTATATCAATAAGAGGACATACAACTCAAAACCATCCGCAATTTGACAATCAAAAACGAATAATAACCATTTGAAAAAAAWTGTGAAATTGAAAGGAAAATTCAAGAAACCTATATCATCTGAACACGTTTGCGACCACAAATACTGYTGTAATTTTCCCTATCGATTCGAGCAAAGAATGTTTAGAGATCACTTGGTTAATAGTTTTTTAAATCATACTAAAGTCATTGCATACAAAAGCTTGCATCAAGTTCAGATGATCGCACCCGATTTGAACCTTTTTCCTAATTTACTCAGAAACGGTTTTAAAATGTCGATTTTTACCCTCGGATTTATAACAGGTAATATTTAAGATTTAGAAAAAAAGTTTTTAATTTTGAAAAGGATAAAAAATAACGGGGTCAAAATTTTGAATCAAAAGGTCGCGCGCCCCTACACAAGACGTTCTGAGCCGCCTTGTCCTTGGGTAACACAAGGTGTCCGTACTCCTTTACGCATGCCCATAATGTAATATTACCGCAATATTCAAAAAGAGGAGCACATTTCAATATTTTCTGTAGGGGATGTCGTTATGATTTATAGTGTACATGCTAATCTATAATAATGATGMTAATTGTTTTGTTATAGCAAGATTTTATCCTTTTAACATCTACAATTGGTGTTCTTTTGCTACAAAGGTGGGGCGTGGCACTGGAGAGAAAAAAAAACAGGAAGAAGTTGCTCGTTCACAGTCTCTTCAGTCTTTAACTCGGGAAAACCAAAKGAATCCCAATTATAKTRSACTAATTAGATGAAATGAAGTTGACTTCGGAGTAGGTCATTTGTAACTACGAGGGAATTTGAATCCTATGAAACACGGTTTGGAAGAAGTGCAAAAAGAGTTCACGATGGAATTAAGGACTACTATATTTTTACTACTATATTTTGGCCCAGAGGAACTAAACAAGAAATTCATGCACTACAGTGCTGTGAGATTGAAATCATAAGTTAAAACATGAAAACAATTAAAGATATTAAATTTATGACCCAAACTTTGTGCTTTYGCCCACTGGACATCCCACAATTATTATGGAAATGCAGTGTTATGTTCGTTTTATGAAAAAGTTCACGAGAGCCGTTGATTCAGTATTTATTTTTCAGAAAATGCACTATACATGCTTCCTTATTATCCTATTCAGCTTGGGAAAATCTCAATAATTGAGAAACGACAGCATAAAAAGGGCTAGAAAGAACTACCCTGTTTGTGTGAAACACTCCGTTTCGTAGGTTTGAATATGACCGTCACGTCTAAGACACTCCTTGTGGTGAAATCTCTCATATCATGTAAAACAAAGTAATCCAAGGGAATGCAAGCGATCTGGTCGCGATTGAGTCCCTGAACAGGCGAATCTTTGTATACAACATTTTGCTAATCAGCACAACGTTTAAATTAAAAAAACCCTGTAAATTAAGTTCAGAAATAATTCAGAAGCATATAGAAATTCTGAGGTCTTTACACGCAATATACTCAAAAACTATTCCATATCGGGAAGCTCAAAACTTACGAGGAGTTTTTGGTTTTTTTCTTTTCTTTTTACTCCTGACGACGGACGATCACTAGACTCCGCTGTGTAAAGAAACTTATCCTCTTCGCCAAATAAAATCTGTTGTCTTTTCATTACCAGCGATCGTGCTGGAAATATTAACACATTTATCATAAGTGGCGATTGAATACTATCGAGAATACTATTTGTCCGCAGGGTGGGAAGAGGGATTATGTATTCTACGTCTCTCAAGAATCGCGGGAAAATAGGCGAAAAAATTGATTTACATTTCGGTTCATTAGCATATCATTGCTATAAGCATATAACAAATCAGCACTGAATCTTGAAACAACTTAACACAATAAACTTTAAGAATAACATAAGTTCAATATACAAATATGATATGGGTCGGTTTTAGTTCGATGTCCTTCCTTCATTTTTTTTTTTTTTTTTGTCCTTTATTACTGAAGGCAAGAAATACTCGAGACACTTTCGAGATCTTCTTTGTGCAGCCGGCCTTTAGTGACCAT